CAGTGTGAGTATATACCCGAGTATTTGCGCTTCGAAGACTGCAAACGCTTGCTTGTGGCGCCGGCCGCATGCAGCAACTGCTGCAACGACGCGGGACGCGCAAGTCTTGAATCAAATGTGCGCGTCCCGTGACCGTCGCAGGCTCGCATCCTTGAACTGTGTGTGGGTGATGAAGCACATGCTGCATGCAGCATGCATACACCCGGGATGCTCGCCCACGAGCCTCGGTTGGAAGTCCGAACCTCCCAGACACGCATTCGAGATTTGAGGCTATGCCATCCAAAGCCACGGGCAGCGCGACCGACTCCACCGAAAGCCACATCTCAACTTTCGAAATCGATTTCCAGCACCCTCTCTCCCCGAATCCACAAGACGAGCAGCATTTTATCGTCATTACTGTCGTCGGCAGCGCTGCGAAGCCAGGCCGCGTTCTAGGTCCCTGTCACTGTACCTCGGTCAGCAGCTGCAGATCGGAACGCCCCATCTAGTGCTTCAACACCATAGGTATAAGACGACAAGCACGACATCCTCGATGATCGCAGTCCACCTTACAATGTGTTGCTGTCTCATATGAGCACTACTCACCCTTCGGCCTTCCTTCGACGATCTCTCGACCCAAGTTGCCAACCGCATCATCAGAGCTTCTGCCATCAGCGCCCTCTAATCTTTCTGCACGCTCGGGCCGCCTCCCGCAGACACAGCAATCCCAAAGCCCGGACTCGACATCGAGGCAGGCACAGGTAGCAAAGATTGCTATCATCGTCGATCACGCACGCATGTCACAAGCCACTCACCTGGTCTCAATGGCCAATGGGCGACTCGCAGCGCTCAACCATCAAATTGGCGCATCTGGAAGCACGGCGCAGCATCAGGACTTAGGAATTGGACCATCGACTGAGTCGACTCATTCCGCTCCTTCCAGCACTGCCAGCAGAACCGAGAGCGTAGGCAGCAGTCGAACGAGCAGTAGCCGCAGTGCTAGCACGAGCAGCGATATGCCCTCTGTCTCCTCTGAGCACGAAGATCGCTTCGGGCCTTATGGACCATTCGGTCCAACTTTTGCCTTGATACCTCAGGCACAGAATTATGAGTGGGGTGTCATCGCTAGCGATGGCAGCTTGGTCGCCAAGTATGCCTCCGCCACTGTCGAGGCAGACGTGCACATCAAGGACAGCAGACCTTACGCTGAGGTGAGTGGGCCTCAAGGCAATGATGAAAAGCCAAAGGCTTGTACGGCTGGACTCGCTTGATGCCAAAATGTATGCGCCCCAGTGCTTGCGCTTACGAACTCATCGCTATCGCCTATCAATACGCAGCTCTGGATGGGCACGCACCCCTCACTGCCCTCGCTTGTGATTCCACCCAAAAAGTCTGGATCGATCCCGCCTGCTGGCCGCTTCATCTCGCTCTCTTCGTATCTGTCGCAACACACAGCATTGCAGGGAAAGGGCGTCGCCCGGCGCTTTGGGAGACCTCACGGAGAGCTGCCATACCTGTTCAAGATTCTGAGCGTCGCAAAGGCATTGAGCATACAAGCTCACCCAGACAAAAGTCTTGCTGAGAGGCTGCATCGCGAGAAACCCAAGAGCTACAAAGGTGAGTTCGCCGAGGTGACGCGGCGACATAGATGGGCTCTCTGACGCCCGGACTGCTTTTGCTAGATGACAATCACAAGCCAGAAATGGCCATCGCCCTGACCTCTTTTAGGGGCTTCTGCGGCTTTCGCCCGCTGAAAGAGATGGCAACCTACCTGGATGCGGTGCCAGAGTTTCAGCGGGTTGTGAATGCTCCTTCGGCGTTTGCTGCCGAGCTGGCATACAAGGCCAGCGACTCCGCGGGAACGAGCGAGGACGAAGCTCGCGACTGGGTTCGAGGAATCTTCTCTAGGCTCATGAATGCACAGTCGACTACATACAAGAGCGCCGTCATGGATCTGGCAGCAAGATATCGAGCGGCTCTGCAAGACGGGCTCGAGCTGGAGGTCGACAAGGATCTGGCGGGCCTGTTGGTGACCCTCAACGAACAGTATCCTGGCGATGTCGGAGTACTTTGCGCCTTCGTGCTGAATGTGGTGGATCTGCAGCCTGGCCAGGCGCTGTTCTTGGGTGCCAACGAGCCACACGCCTACATCAAGGGCGACATCGTAGAGTGCATGGCTAGCTCAGATAATGTTGTACGCGCAGGTCTGACGCCCAAGGAACGAGATACTGAAACATTGGTCAGCATGTTGACGTACAACAGCGGCTCAGCAGGGAGACAACTCATGTCGCCTTCGCCATATCCACCTGCCGAAGATAGTT